CTAACGTAAAGTAAACAGAAATAAGCAAAATAGATTAATCATAGTAACCGAGCATACCCTTCTGTATGCAGACCCACCAACTCGTCGTCAGCAGCAAACCACTGTCGAAACTGACATCCCGTCCCTCACACCTCCTGGTGAACCGCAGTAGCCTTTTCGGCCACAGCATTCGCAGTAAGACCCATCTCGGCCGTGAAGGTGCCATGCGGTCTCCACTTGGCCGAGGTACGAGGCGTGGTCTCTTCCATCATCTTGTCCACCTGCTCAAGAGTGAGACCCTTGGTCTCCGGGATGAGGAAGTATGTGTAGACAAAAGCGCAGGCGCACAGTGAGCCCCAGATGAAGAATACCTTGGCCTTGAGGTCACCCTTATCCTTGTCGACCATGTAGGGGGTAATGACGGCGATGATCTGACTGGTCAGCAGGTTTCGTCAATTGGGGAGCAAGTCACTTACGCAATTCCACAGCCAGTTTGAAGCCGTCGACAGAGCCACACCACGCGACCGAATAGGCAGGGGGAAAATCTCGCCAATCACGACCCAGGCACCCGGGCCCCACGTACTAGCGAAGAAGAAGATGTAAATGCAGATGAAGGAAATTTCTGCGCTGACAGCGTGCTTGTTGCTGCCGTCCACGGTGCCGACGATAGCGACAATGAACTGGCAGATGACCATGCCAAGTGCTCCCCACAAAAGGAGCGAACGGCGGCCAAACTTCTCAATTGTGTAGAAGGAGACGGGGGTCGAGCAGACGTTGACGATAGTGGTAATCATGCTGATGAGGAAGGGGTCATCAATGGTTCCCAGCTATACTCTGTCAGCGCATCATCTCGGGTACAGATCGATCTCACTCACCGACTGGAAGAAGGTCGTTCCAAAGTAGAAGACAAAGTTGACACCGGTCCACCTGAAGGACAGTAAGTATCTCTCTTCACATATTGTGTGTGGGTGTGGCAAGGTTGTGACTTACTGTTGCATCATTTGCAGGGAAGTACCCAGGACTGTCCGACGAAGGTTGCTGTTGGGAGAGAACAGACTGCCGCGGAAGCAGTTCATCCAGCTGACGAAGTATCCACCTTCCGGGATCACCTGCATCTCGTACTCATGGTTTGCCACGATCTCAGCCAGCTCATCCTTGATATAGTCCGAGTCTTGGGGCTGGCCACGAACGCGGGCAAGGACCTCCGCAGCCTTGGCCAGGTTACCCTTGCGAACAAAGTAACGAGGGGACTCGGGCAGGCAGAGCAGACCACCTCCCAAGATGATAGCCCAGGCGAGCTGAAGGCCGATTGGAATACGGTAGGAGCCCGAGTCGAGACGGTTCTCAGTACCGTAGTCGACGCATGAGGCCAGCATGAGCCCGATAGTGATGCAGAACTGGTACCCTGAGACAATAGCACCGCGAACCTTGCGAGGTGCAATCTCAGACATGTACAGGATGATAATGGCGGAGACAAAGCCCACACCGAATCCCGCGACCAGACGCCCGGCAACTAGCAGACCCAAGGAGGTCGAAGCGGTCTGCAGGACAACACCAACGACGAAGACCACACAACCACTGACAATGGTAGTGCGACGACCAAACCAGTCTGCCAAGTCACCCGCAATGAGGGCACCAAAGAAGGTTCCAGCCGAGAGGATCGACGTGATCAACGATTTTTTCCAGGACGGGAGGACGAAGGAATCTGTGGGGGTAGTGTTATAGTCCTAATAGAAGTCAGTCCCCTCTTAACTTATTAGTTGTTGCGATGACGCTACATACCAAGCCCTCAAACTCCTCGATGAAGTATCTCATCCCCATGACACCGCTGATATAACCCGAGTCATAACCGAAGAAGATACCACCAAAAGCCGCAAAGGCACACATCAAGTAAGTCTTGAGGGTGACTGGGGCCTCGACGCGCGAGGCGTCCACGAAGCCATCAGCCATGGCTACTGAGGATAGACTGTGTGATGGTCCGCACAGTGAAAGAAAGTGACAAGAAGAAGGGTGGGCAGAAGCCTATATGGCAGCAATGAGAGAAAGGTAGCGGCGTTCACACGAAGACCGGGGGATATGAGGGAAGGTGACGGAGAAAAGGAAGAGGGGAAGCACCGAGAAACAAGACAAGAAAAACCGAGATCAGGGGTATTGGTCGGTTTTATAATCCTGTGCGAGGGTCCAAGTTGCATCATGCTCAGCTCACTGCTGGACTCGCGACTTCCCGTTGAGAATCGGGCCAGCATCGGTTCCGGGGAATGCCCATGGGGTTCTCCAGCTTTGGCCACCGTGCCGTCTGTCCAGTTTGGCCACCGGCCGTGACTCGTTGGGCTGCAGGACGGCGATTGCTGTGGAGCGGTATTCACTGCAGTCGACCGATGGCATGCACAGGACCCAGAAGCCGAAATTACCACCAGTCTTGATTCGGATGGCTGGCTTCGAGGTGAATGCCTCTCATCCTGCCTGCATGTCCAATCATCAGGCTGAGGTAATTTCCCGGAGAGTTAGGTTTTACCAACAGGGGAAAGTTCTGTACGACCCCAGACCTGGTTTCCCCAGGTTGACCGTAAGAAATGTACCCACAGGGGGGGGCAACGGTTTACGGGGGAGTCCAGATTCAACCCAGCACGAGTCACTGCTATACTCCATAGAAGGTATAGTAAGTCTGCAAGTCAAGCTAGTATAGTACGACTTGTTGACAGGATTTAGTTGCCAACAGCCAAACAGAAACTCGGTCCAGGCCGGCAAACCCCGTCTGGCTCTGGCATTCACTCTGATTGGCGGGGTTTCACAGGGGTCGGAAAATTGAACCTACCACGTGCTGCGCAGAGGAAGGATTCCCCACAATCAAGTGCCAGTCTAGCCGGATCTGCTTAGTGCTGTCATTTTGGGTTTCCGATCACGAGATGAGCTTCTTGGACCCTGGTCAACCTTCACAGTTCACACAGACTACTGACAGAGCACTCCTGCCCTATCAGGGCAACCTAGTAAGCATCTTTCTTTGACCCTGACATGTCACCCTCATTGTTCTCGACTCCCCAGTTCACGATTCCCAGAAATTATCAGTCGCCATGTTAAGCTCCAATGTAACCTTTCCGACAATGGTCCATGACCGTAGCTAATCACGAGCCATCCCCTCCAGAACACCTGGTAGCGAGAACAGACGGCCGCGACGCCACCACGACTATTGAAGGTTGCCCAGCCCGCTGAGTCGGAAGGTAACTGGTCTCCTGTCCGGATCCAGGTCTTGGTCCGAAGTGGCCCTCCGTCCGCGGGATTCTTTGTTGGGTCAGTATCCCAGCTGGAGGAACAGCCTCGGACCTGACCGAAAGGCTCTTTCAGCTTCACACGTGGTTTATTTTCTTTTTCTTCTCCTGGAGTGGCCTATCCGGGTGACTTGCCTCCTCCAATGGGTCTATTTCGGCCCTGTCTGGCTTGTTCTAGGGTAGGAGAATGTCTTCGCCATCTCAAATCAGCGTGTCATGCCAAGAGGCTTGGCGACCACGACGTCTCGTCCCGCCAGTGCAGACGCCATCCAGAAAAATTCAACTTTAGCCGAGAGTGTGTCAATACGAGATGCAATCAATTATACTACCCGTGCTATACGCATCGTAAGTTGGGTGCGCTAGAAGCGAGAGGCCATGGATATCAAGACATCATGACAAGAATTGCCTCAAACCATACTAACTACCATGGATCAATGACCCGGTGAGCATTTTCGGTCATCTAGACTACTATTAAATACACAGCTTCCGCTTGCCACGAATGAGAAAGGAGTATGTCCGAAAGACGTCTCAAGTGCAGTCACACTGCAAGGGTCTGTCATGTCGGTGTTACAGGCTACTGGGACGGATCCCGGTCATGTGAGGTGGTATCGGTGAGAAGTGAGATCCATCTATTTTCTGGGAATAAAAAGCAACCACTACAACAGTTTACCTCCTTTGATACGGACTGTATCACCACACATCTATTCAAGTGGATACCGTATGATCGGTGGTGAATAGTAGCCTTATGGTGATCTTGCAGTAGCATGGCGGGAATTCATCCGCTACTATTTATCTATCCATTCTATTTAACTCCTGTCAAATTATTTATCTTAGCTACTAATACACAGAATTTATCGATTAACTATATTATCATAACTTATTCTCTTAATACACTTCTTCACCCAAATTGATTTCCTTCTCCCCTAACATCACCTAACTACTAAAGTTACCAACACTGCGGGGTAATAAGTAAGGCATCACCCACATGGCCCCCTTCCTCCGCGTGGTCAGGCATCCTGTCTGTCAGCTCCCGACCAACAACCAACTTACTCACTACTAAGAATGTGGGGTACTCTTAATCCAGCCAAGCTTTGCAAATACCAACACTACAGCATACATTGATATTAGAACTACAATCAGCAAAACAAGGACATATATTCAGCTCCGACACCCATAATACCAAAGCGCTTAACACCATCTACTGCTACTAAGCTCAAGTAAGCATAAGCATAAGCCTAAGCATAACCATCATCCTCTCCCTTATCAGGATAATCATCAACCACCCATTCCACAAGAAAGGTAACACAACATGTAGGTAACTACTATCCCCTCAGCTCACTCACAAATACAAATACAGATTGAATGACTTACGTACGCACATAGTAAGCACAGCCTACACACTGTCCATAAAAGATAGAGAATTAACCAACCAGAACAGCACATCATATGCATGTAGTACTTATGTGGCAAGTTGATGGCTGCAACATTCCTTAAGGGGTATATATATAATATGTAGCAAGGCAGTGAGTGAGTGCCCTGCCCCTCATCGGGTATAATTACATTTATTACTGGCCTATCATCTGGATGTTCAAATGATAAGTAGAAGCATTACGTTTAGGAAACTGATTGGTTTATATATTAAAATAATTCATCATTCGCTATGCAATATCTCCAATCATACAAAATCACTGTATCTCTTAATACTGGTTACCTCCCCATATCTCCCGTTCTCGGTGCTAGATACTGATGATGTATCTAAGGTCCCTATGATACCACACCACGTCAGCCCAAATCCACAGAACCAACATTCCACCACAATGAAGTAAAATGTTGGGGGGGATACATACCTTAAACACCAACTCCCCATTCTCATTAGCAATCTTATCCGCCAGATACAATCCCTGCAACTCTCTGTATCCGCCATCCCGCTTCCTCAAGTACGCCGTCAACTTGGGACCGCGGCCAGTGTTCTCGAGCTGAATGTCATTGGCGGTTTCGGTGAAGTTGGAGCCGCCCCAGATGAACCAGCCTATACAAATCAAATTATTAACAGTCAGTATCAATACCATGTATTCGCTACCTAACATTCGAAAGAAAACAAGAGGGGAAAAAAGGGGGGTGAAAGGGATCATACCATCCGTATTTCCAATATGTCTATCAAGACGGATCTTGCGAGCGACATACTCGCCATTCGCACGACGCACCTCAGCGTGCAGGAAAGTAGCACCGGGCTCGTGGATGAGGTGGATGTTTTGGCAGCTGTTGTGGAAGGACATTTTCGTAGGTATATTTTTCTTTGAGAAAGAAAGGGGGTGAGGTGAGATGGGGTGAGGAGAGTAGAGTAGAGAGAAGTTGAGCAAGGAAGAGGGAATAAACTGGGTCAAGTGGAAGGGTTTATATAAGTTGGAAGATCGCAAGCATTGCTGCCCTACTGAAACTGAATTAGCTACTAGCTGCTAACCTTCTGGATGGAGACCCTGAGATTGGGGATTGCTGCTGCTGGTGAAGTCACCCTGCAGGAAGGGAAGCTCGAGTGGGTCGATTTTCCCTTCCCTTTAAAAAAAAAGAGGGGTGGATTGTGGATGTAGTAGTGGGGCTAGGCAGCATTTACTTGTTTAGGTGCTGGAAGGTTCTGCTGCTGCTGATTTGTTTTGAAAGGGGATAGAATATATAGTATACTATATTATTTATTGCCTTCGATATAAATATTTACGATGGTAGTATTGTAGTATGGCTGGTTCGGTTCCGCCCGAGTGCCAGTACCGTTGGACTGACTGAATGGAAAGGATCGGGCTTAGAGAAGAAATGATGGAATGATCCGCACAGGGATCGAGTGGGCCGGGCAAGACAGACGGTCGCGTGACTTTCAATAGTCTACATTCATTGCAGTACTAAGTTAGTTACTATCTACGGAGTAGCATCTTCAATTACCTCAATATTAGGAGATAACTATAGTAAATAAGAGTATCTTACTTGTCCATGTCCACTAGAAGCATCATGTTCTTTCACTTCTGCCTAAGGCACCAATCTCCCAAAAGACCAGTCATATCAATCCACCTGAAACCGCAGTGGGCTCATTGCTCCAGCCACATTCTAAAAATATAATACTAAATTGATCTGAACAGCCACAATCACTACTTACTAGTAGCATTGGCATCGCCACATCCCCACTCCACAGCTCCCTGGGAGGCAAATGGTCATTTTACTACGAAGTACTACGTACTGCTGTGGAAGGCTTGGTGTGACTATCATCCTTGGCAGTTATGACGATGGTTCAAGTTGGGTGGTGGCACAGTCCGGATGGATGCTCCTATTCCAGTAGTATTCGTGCTACTGTGGGTGTTGTGTAATATATATTATGATCATACTACTATTGGTACTAGTAGGATTGACTCAGGTTAATACCCTGCAGCCTCTACAGGGTGATGATGTTGATTGTGCCACTGTGGTATTACACTTACCTAGGGTTTGTGAAGTACAGCGTGAGTACACAGCAGAATCATTCTGGGTGATCTTTCAGTAGAAAAAAAGAATATATAGTATTATTAGACTAACATTCTAGATTAAGACAGTGTATATATATAAACCCCGGTTCCCAACCTGGCTATGCAAAACCCAATATCATGTGGTCAATACAGCTGACCAAAACACCAGTGAACTCAAGAAAAGAGAATAATCCACCACAGCATCAAAATCAACTGCTGCACCCTGCCATCCCCCCGTCAATCAGATGCAAATCTCCATTAACGTATCCGCCTGCCTTACTGGCCAGATACAGAATGGTTCCAGCAATCTCTTCGCGCCGGCCTGCTCTTTGCAGCGGAATGAATTCGCGGTCAAACGCGCCCTCGACAGAGATCTCTTCGTTGGCTGGGCTTCCACACAGATTACTCGGGAACACTGTTCCAGTCAGCATTTAGTCTCAACATGCAGATAGGAATACTCACAGCCAGGAGAAATAGTATTTGCTCGAATCCCATGAGGAATCAAATACGTCATCATCTTCCTCATCAACATTATCACAGCTGCCTTGCTCATTCCATACGCACAGCCGCCAACGACTCTCCGGTTATGTGCTGCTACACTGCTCACAGCGATGACCTGACTCTTCTGAAAGACATTTCCTCGCTTGTTGCCCTTATCCAGTAATGAAACAAAGGCCGCAATGGTGTAGAAAACCCCTGTTGTGTTTACCCGGAACGTGTCTAGAAATTCATCGACGGGGGTATCCATGAGGAAGGATTCCAACTCATCAGGAGTCGCATTCTCCTGTAAAGTGCGACCGACCTTTACGCTGATAGCTTCTGGTGAGTCCATATAAAGCATCCCTGCATTGGCGACGAGCAGGTTGATGTATCCGGTTTCAGTATGAATCTGGTCGGCAGCGGCAGCAAGAGAGGCTTTTGAGCCTACATCAGCAACGATAGGGATGATAACACCGGGATGCATGTCGGCTGTATCTTCGAGAGTCTCTTTGTGACGGCCCAGGATATAGACTTTGCTGGCTCCATTGGTAGCGAGGGCGAGAGCCATCGTCTTGCCCAGACCTGCGATAGTAACATAATCATCAGCTTGTAATAGAATATTTTAAAAGTGACCGCATCACATACCAGAGCTCCCGCCGGTGATGACGGCAACTAGGCCGCGCACGTTGAATAAATCCTTGATATCGTACGGCATCTTGATGGAATAGCCCTCGAGTGATGTGATGTGATGTGAAAGAACAATCAGAATTTTTTATCCATGATCCCAGTTATATAAACCCACCCACAGAATGGTTATGATACGTCAATTGACACAGGCAAATCAGTCGGTATGTCGATCATGATTGGATGTATCACAATGACACTCCCAACTTCGCTGTACATCCTACCTACACGTCGACGCATACATTCTCGTCGATGTCATATTGTCCAGATGAAGCAAATGATAAGTTATATTGGGTTTGGAATAAAGACTTAAACCGTAGAGGTTCCTACCGCATCTAACCAGTGGCAACACAACGAAGAATCAAGCCAAATCTGAAGCTTGACCCCGTTAAACTGCCCCAAGTTACCATTCTTCGGGCTTCTCTCGGGGAAGCTGAGTAACAGACTCATCTAGGATATGTCTAATCTATCATACCCAACCCTGCAGGAGGTGCATGACGCACACCGATAAAGAATACAAATCATTGCCACTTGGTTCCAAAGTACTTAAGGGTTGTGGGTAAGGTTCGTTGTCAATCTTGTAGTCCGCTGGTTGGGTGTTACTCAGGAGGTTACGATCATCAGCCGAGGGTTCGTGTGGGAAGAGACTTAGGTTATAAATCTCGCTGCCGGAGTTCAGATGAATTAGAATTGAAATATGGTTTGCAATTTACATTTTCGAGGATCTAGTATGATCTACACGATCTCCTCGGAGCGCTCTAGATCCTACTATACTTGGTAGGTGGCTCTTCTGGATGCTTGCTTGTTAGATGAACAGCAGGTAAATGCAGAGAGATGTAGTATCATGGACAACAAGTGCAGTATCGCTCAGGAGAGCGCAAGCACCTGCAAGCAATGATTCTTCCCTCGGCATGTGACGTATCGCACGCAAAAAGCAGAAGGAGCGTCTACTGAGAACCATGATCAAGGTTTGAACCAGAAAGTTTCTTGATCGCCTGACCTTCCCTAAGTCAAAAGCATACAGATATTATTTGCTCACGTATATACACAGCCGAACCCGAATGTCATATATACACCCTTCATCCGTCTAAGTAAGGCCTGACCTCCAATGTACATGTTAACAGGCATTCTAACTTAATCAGAAGTGGCGGTGCAGTTGACACTCAGAAGACTCTCATCGACCTGGGCAGCGTTAGTCACCAATTTGGATCTTCACCTGGCTTTGGCCGACTCACATTATCGCAAACAAAGTCGTTGGTTCCATCCGGGCTTGTTACATTAATATTGGAAGTATAGATATCCGAGCAAGTCTATCGAGTGTCAGCCATTGCACGCTAAACGCCTATCCTGGAGGGCACTTACATCAGGACTGGAACAAACAATTGTCCCAACATAGGGATCTTCCGATCCCGACGTCGTACCGCGGAAGTTCTTAATGTGGACGTCCGAGATGGTGAGAGAGCTCTATTGGTGTGTTAGAGTTGCTTCGGGGAAGCGGCTGAAGGTCTACTTACCGGGTACTCGTTGCACAAGGTAGTATTCTTCTGCCCATAGCACTGCGTGATTTCAATGGCCCAGTCGACATTATCAATGAGTGCGGTGTCATAGGTGATATTCTTTACGCTACCCGAGCCACCGCCGCCTTGAAGATCGGCAGATAGCGCAGAGGGAGTACCAGGCCAAACCTTGATGCGGGCCATATCCTGCAACCAAGTTAGTAAGAAGTTTATAATTTGGTTAAAGTTCAGACATACCGAAGCGTTGAACATAGAAATGTTGTACACATAGACATTCTCAACGATGTCAACCTCGTCCTTGTATTGGCCGAGAGAGCCAACAGAAATGCCGTGGGAGCCATTGCAGTGAAGGTTCTGAACGAGGATGTTGGTGCTGTTCGGCTTGAAGGAGACACAGTCTGTGTAGGTTTGCAGGTTAGAATTGTTAAAGTAGACGCTACTTAGATTTGACTTACCATCACCGTTGTTGATCACCGAGTTCTGGATAACGATGTTGTTGGAGCGGTAGGTATCCCTACCACGGAAAGTTAGTAATGCACTCGGTGTAAAGCAGGTATAAACGCACCATCCATCAGTGTTCTTGGCCTCGTTATCGCTCTTACTATAACCCGAAATGTCAATCCCATCAAAGAGCACATTCGACGAGTTAGCCACAAAATGGTAGTATTGCGGCGAGTACCGCAGCTTCAGCGGACCAATTGTGCCACCATTCAGCCCGATGATGCCCATCAAGATGGGACGCAGAATGAGATCATCTTCGGCATACAGATCATACCAGACCTGTCCGTTGCCATTGATTGTACCACCACCGTACATATTCACATCTTCACCACCGAGTTGGAAGAAGGTCGTGGCGTTCTGGAAGCCCTGTTTGAAGGAGTTGGCCTGCCAATAGTCTGTATCGTTGGTGAATAAGATTGTTCCGAGGACCTCTGTTGAACCATAAGGTTAGTCAATGGTCACCTTGATTGGGTCTGCAGAATAAGCACCTAGGTCAATGTTCTTCAGGAAGGTCATATTCAGTGCCGTCCCGATAATGTATTCCTTGTCCTCATCAAAAACTACCTTTCCACCGTGGTTACATTGGTTCAATGCGGAGAGAATGTAATC